AGGCCATGGACAGCTGTGTGGACTTACTGAAGGGCTTTGTTCTTTCCAGGTACAATGTTAGGGCCCTCCTGATAGCCACGCTGGTGTGATCTGCAGAATCCTGTCTGATCTTCAGGAGAACCTTGCTGATCAATGAGAAAGGGGGAAGTGTAGAGGAGACTGCCTGCACAGGGGAGAAGGCAGGCACTCCAGACCCATCCTTGAACAGAAGGTGGAGCACTTTGTGTTGCGTTGTGTTGTGGGGAGAGCCCTAGTCCTGGAAGAGCACGAGGGTGATCTCCAGATGGAGACACCACTCCTGGTGAGATGCGAGTTCTGCTCGGTCTGTAATTACGTTGCACTCCCAGGAGGTGGCGTGCCTCCAGTGAGATATGGAGGAGGAGACAAATCACAGTCTGGTTGCTTCCTTGCAGGGAGGCAGCGTGGGCCCTGCCCTGCCTGTTGATGTAGAACGTGGATGCCACGTTGTCTGAGAGAACACAGACCACTCTGCCCTGCAGGTGAGGCAAGAACACTGCACACATCTGACTGCCTTGAGCTCTCTGACGTTTATGGGAAGGGCTGGCTCGTTCTGGGACCACTGGCCCCGAGTTTGGAGCGCTCCAAGGTAAGCTCCTGACTCCCGGTCCAAGTTCCACCGAGTGCTGGGGCTGCCTGAACAGACAGCAAGGAGACTGCAGGAAGTGGAGGATGTGTGTCAGCACTGTGGCTATCCTTTGAGGGGGTACCACCCTGAGGAGTATACTGATGTCAGCCAAAGCTGGAGAGGGTACATCTTGAGTTTGGCAGAAGGCATCAAGTAAGTGCAAGCTGCTATATGGCCGAGGATGCGGAGACATGCCCTTACCATCATCAGAGGGGCAAAGAACAGCAGGCAAGCAAGGTCCCGCAGCGCATGGAACCAGTCTTGAGGGAGGGATGCCATGGCTGCAGTAGAATCGAGCACCACGCCAATAAACTCAGTTCTCTGTACTGGAACTAACGATATTTTGTAGTTTACCAGGAGACCGGGATGATGACGTGGAGAGGAGGAGATAGATGTCTCGCTGGACCTTACACTGTGAACAGCCTTGACCAGCTAGTCATCCAGATAGGGGATATACCTGGAAGAAGGAGATAGATATCTTGCTGGACCTTACACTGTGAACAGCCCTTGACCAGCTAGTCATCCAGATAGGGATATACCTGGACCCCTAGATGATGCAGGTAAGCTGCCATCGCTCACATGCACTTTGTGATTACTCTGGGTGCCATAGCTAGGCTAAGAGAGAGGACTGCAAACAGAGTGGTTGTGTCCTACCTCAAACTATCTGTATCCCTCGAAGATCATGACGAGACAAACCCATCTCCCAGATCCAGCTCAGGAATAACTGATGCCAGGGTGACCATGCAAAACCTGAAGTGGACCAGATACTGATTCAAATTTCACAGCTCCAGAATAGGCCTGATGCTCCCCTTGGCATTGGGGATTAAAAAAATATCAGGAGTAGAAACCTGGCTGTGGAACTAGGCAGGCATCTTCTCAATTCCAGGTGCAGCAGTTCCACCACCTCTTGTTCGAGAAGCTGCCCATGAGAAGGATCGCTGAAGGGGGACAGGGAGGGAGGGTGGAAGGGAAAGGGGGGGGGATAAGAAGCCAGCTGGAGTGCACAGCCATCCTGCACCATGGCCAGCATCCAATGGTCTGATGTAATCTATGCCCAGGCTGAGAGGAAGGGGCGGCGATGGGAAGCAAAGGGACAGGGAAGAGCCAGCATGTCTGCTGTGTCATCCTCGGGCGCATCCTCAAAAGGCACCCTTGCCAGAGAGCTTGGGCTGGCTCAACGAGGGACGTGAGCCTGCCGGGGGTTGCCCGACCTAACTTTGCAGAAAGGTTTCCTGAGCCCTTGCAGCGAGTCGCACTTTGGGTTGAGCAGGTTGAGGCTTAAACTATTTATGCTCCGGCCCTAGCACGTGGAGTTGTAAAGTCTTTAGGGTTGTGCAAAAGTCCTTGAACCCATGCAACCTGGTATCTGTCTGTTCCACAAACAGGGCCATGCAATCGAAGGGAGTTCCTGGATCGCATTCTGGGCCTCTGGTGACAGACGCAATAGAAGTAGCCACATAGCCCTCCTTATGGAAATTGCGGACACCAAGGCGCATGGTTCAAGTAGCATGGTCCATGAACTCTCCTTTGGACGCTTCAGGGAGCAACACCTTGCACTTGACCAGGGATTGCTAGGAGCTGAGGTTATATCAGGCGAATAGGGCCTGATGGTTTGCCACCTGTCCCCAGGCTAAGTCTCAACAAGGGACTAGCTAACTGTTGTCTACTATTGCTGAAGGAAAACTCTGCTCATCTCAGGAAGTAGGCTGTGCCCACGAAAATTCATGATTTTTTTTATATGTGAGTATTTATTAGGCTCTAAGGCACCACTCATTTTTAAAGGACAACTATTTACAGTTGAATAGAGGGAATGACTAATGCTACAGCTAAGGCTGGAGTGCTCCCAGCACCTTCACAGGCAGCAAAAAGGAACGGGGGGAGGGGGGGGAGCGTGGCATGTGCGCACCACTCCAGGGGGCACGGAGATCCAGGCCCCTATGGGTGCTGCTGAAGGAAAACCTTCTGGCACTGGTGCATGTGGCGAGCGCTCACAACTACGCTGAATGGACATGAGCAAGCAGTGAAGAAGAGCTGCATGCCTGTGTGGAGCTCAAATCCCGATTCGTCTCACTGACAGTAACAGTGCAGAAAAAGCCCTGGCCAGCTTTCCGAAAGGCAACCAGTCTCTTTTCTAGTCATGGCCTTTTAATGAGCCCAAGGCCAGAGGTGAGAAGAACTACCCACAAGTGCTATGATCTCACAGCTAAACCCCACGCCCCCCCCCCCCCCACCTCCCCAGTGACGGCATAGGGTTAACTAAGACTAAGCCAGTGACCTTCAGCCAGCCTGCCTACTAGGCCAGCCTATTGCTTAGTAGCTACCCTCTCCTCTTTCCAAGAGCTGCAGGAAGCAACCCATAACAGCAGTGCTGTGCTGAGACCAAACAAGGAACTTGCAGGCCTGCCCGGAGCTGGTTATAATTAGACTGACTCATACTTCCCAGCCCTCCAGATCAGAGCTGATTACTGAGAGTTCACCGAAAGTGCCCAATTCCCTCACCCTGGCTCACTACAGAAACAGACAGACAATGACCCACTACCAAGAAACCTTATCCCAGGGACTGCAGCACTAGGGCCCTACCCCTCTCTTCTCCAAGCTCTCCTGTGACCTCTCCCAACCAGGGACGGCTCTTCAGCCCAAGGTAGGCCGGAGAGAACAGCCAGAGGTGCTCTTGAAGCTACTACTGCACTGCTCGGGGTGAATGATTCCCCTGGCCCCAGGTATGCCTAACACCAAAGCCTAGACCACCACCTGCCCACTGCTCCACCTGGCTGTTTATTCTGCAAGCTGCCTCTCCAAAATGCTGGCTGGGGATTCACACTCACTTTGCAACCCCTGTAGTCAGCGCCTTAGGGGGAGAACAGAATGATCTCGGCGGAGCAGAACTCACAATGGTGGGGAAATGGGGGTGCTACTCAATTCCTCTGCTCAAAACTTCAAAGCTGAATGGTGGCCTGCTCCGGCACTCCAGCTCCCTGGACTTCCCCTGGAGCTTGGGAACTAAGTGGCTGAGAACCAGGCTTTCACATGGCAGTGGTCAAGAAGAGAGCAAGCAGCATGACTCAGGCCACCAGTGCATGTCCTAGCTTCCATCTGGGCAAGTCTCATCAGCCCCACAGCGCTGCAGCCTTTAGTCACATTTCTCAAGCCCCTAAACACAGGACTCGCCCAGCACCTGACTGAGAATCCAGGTGTTCCAGGCCTGCTGGTCTGCAGCTTATCACAGCCACTCCTCAGCGCCAGAACTCTTAGTGCCAATGGGACCTCCCCAGACCTCACTGTTCTGATTCAGGTTCCTTAGCACTGTGATCTGTCCCTCTGCCTCTTGAGCAAACCTGCCTACAAGGAAAAGTTGGCAAGTCTAAGGTTGTGCTGCCCCCTCGCCCTCAGCTCTCTTTCGACCACTTGAATAATGGCAAACATTAATCTCTCCGGTTTCGACTAGGAAGTGGTCCAGTCCAAGCTGCCAGTGAACCTAGAAAAGCATGGGGGGCAGGGGCAGTCTTCCTTGAACCTTGCCTGGGCAGGACTCCTTTTGCCAGTAGTCGATAGCGACATCCTGATAGTGTCTCTCACTACCCTTCCTTAGCCTGTTCAGGTCACTTTCATGACTCCATCTCTTGCAGCTACAGCACCTGCAAGTCCTGAAGACAACAAAATCACAGCCCAAGGACAGGCAGATGTGGCTCTCTTGGGAGCCACAAGTTTGGTCATAGCTCCTCTCAGACAAGAAGAAATATCCCCAACTTTCCCCACGGGACACAGGCTAAGGAGAAGCACACACCGTGTCAATCATAGCTCCTCTCAGACAAGGAGAAATATCCCCAACTTTTCCCACAGGACACAGGCTAAGGAGAAGCACACACCGTGTCAAATGGGCTCAAGCACCATAGCTACAGAACAGATTCTGCACTCTCGCACCATACCAGTGGTACAATATTTTGTCCCCATGGTGTCAGAGCAGTAGGTCCAGGATTTTGGCTCTGGGAAGCTGAGGGTCACTGTCTTTCAACGATTCGTATACCCTTTGCCCTAGCATCTGGTTGCGTTACAGGTTTAATGCAGCCAAACACTGAAGCAGACCAGGTCCTACAGAGGAGACCAAACTGCCCCTACTCTTCACTCTGGGATGAAGGTGCTCAAACCAGGAGAAATCAACCAAGGACTTTCCAGAAGAGGGAAATGGAAGTTTCCCCTGATCCCAACAGCCTCTCTTTCCCACGCATTGGAATCATGGCACCGCCTGTGACCCATGCATCCAACCCCACATCACAATAAGGCAGAGACAGGCCCCAAGGGCATGGCTGCAAGGAAAGGGGTGGTGAGATGGGATGCAGGCTAATGCATTTCTTACCTGCACCATTTCTCCACTGGAAGCAATTACATCTGCGGGGATAAGGACTCGGAAGGAACGGCCCACCACCGCAGAGCTGTCTGGAATCCCCAGCACTGCTGGAACTGTGTCATGGAGATCTGATAGCACCGAATGCATGGAGGCCTCTAGCTGGTTTTCCCAGTCCTGTGCAACTCTGGAAGGTTCACTGGGCCAATAGCACTGAATGAAAGCCGCCTCCAGCAACAGCAGCAGCCAAGTCCTCCCCAGCACAGGGGGAACCAGTACAAATCCCACAGTCATGTTTCCTGCAGGCTCCGACACTACACCACTTGGGAAGGGAGCCCTGACAGCCTGTGTGCTGGGCCTCAGAGCAGCAACATCCTGGGAGTCTCCTGAACCTGCGGGAGAAAGAAGAGGCCATGTCAGTACTAGCTACGCCTGTCTCAGAACACTGGACAGCAGGCGAGAAACCCACCTGCCTAATTCCTCTGCCCTCCCTCCCTCTCAGGCCTACTGTACAAATGCAAGAGGCTCATTCCCAGTGGAGAGCAAACAGCTTCAGCAGCCCCTGCTCACACTAGAGTACAGCCTCTCCACAGAAACAAGGGCCCTTCTGCCGACGGCTAGGAACACCCTGGGGTAGCAGGGGGGACTGCTGCGGAGACAGGAGCGACAATGGAACGCGGCAGTCAAACTAGCACGTGGATGAACTGGAATGCTAATATCACAGAGCATTTCCCTGAAGAACTGCACTCCAGTGTGAGCAGCCTGGGGCAGGACAACTGCTTCTGATCCCAAGGCCCGTGAGCCCCCCAAAACAACTCCCCCCAACTCTGGCTTTCAGCATTAGCAATGCATAGCCAAACTGGAAGTGGGACAACAAGCACGCACTGGACCCCTCAGCCCGCTCCCCTCCCTCTCCTGTCTGTACAGCCTCTTGCCTGCATCAGGTGCTGTTCCCTCCTTGTTCACACAGATCTGTCTTCAGCATTTCTTATTTGGCTGCTTCTCCGGCCACTTTTGTGGTCCCTTCTCTCCCCTTTGGTGCCCCACCTCCCACGCTTACGCTCCTCTTCCTTCTGAGTGCATTCCTACTCCCGTTCCCCCCCTGCAGTGCTCACAGCTCATGTCGGCCCAGAGCGATAACCACATCTCCAAGCAGCTCCCCAACCCAGGGCACTGGAGAAACTTACTGCTTTCTGCCAATAAGTTTCTCCACTGCATTTGTGTCGTGCTGCAGCTTCTGTCCTTGGGAAGCTCTAGGGAGCCTTTTCTACATAGGGGCACAAGAAAATGCAGGCCCCTCCATCTCCTGATACCAGACTGAGCAGTGCTCTATGCTGGGCCGGGGGGAGACTGCTATGGGGTAAGATTCCTTCAGGGCTCAGCAGCCGACGGGGGCTCCAGCATCTCTTTCCAAAGAAACAAGTCCAGCCACCTGCTAGCCATTCCGAGTCAAGCTGCAGGTCTCTGGCTACTAGGTCTGAGCACAGCCTGTAAGTTATGAATGAATCCACTCCAGCTGTGCCAGCCGACCTGTCAGCCCTCCTGACAGACCTGGCAAGAGGCAGTTATTACTGTAACTAGTTGAGGGGTAGCTGTGTTAGTCTGTAGCTGCAAAAACGAGGAGTCCTGTGGAACCTTAAAGATGAGGGATGTTCAAAACCATGCAGTGGGGTAACCCTGTAATTGCAGGAGACACTCTTCCATCTTACCTGGAGCCGTGGATAGGGATCAATGCTGGCTCACATACTGCGCTGGCGGGACACAGCGCTAGGAGCGGAGTCAGACCCCAGCTGCAGTGACAGGGTTAGTGCCAATCCCAACAGAAGTGACTTACGTTGAACACCAGGCTCCTTTTCGGTCCTGGCCTTGAAGGACTTGCAGACACAACACTTGCTGCAGAGTGACTTAGACAAATTGGAGGCTTGGGCCACAAGAACTCTGAGGAGGTTCAACAAGGACAAGTGCAGAGTCCTGCACTTGAGATGGAAGAACCCCAAGCATTGTTACAAGCTGGGGACCAACCAGTTAATTAGTAGTTCTGCAGAAAAGGACCTGGGGGTTACAGTGGATGAGAAGCTGGATATGAGTCAACAGTGTGCGCTTGTAGCCAAGAAGGCTAATGGCATATTAGGTTGCATTAAGAGGATCATTGCCAGCAGATCCAGAGATGTCATTAATCCCCTTTATTCGGCTCTGGTGAGGCCACATATGGAGTATTGTGTCCAATTCTGGGGCCCCCACTGCAAAAAGGATGTGGACGCATTGGAGAGGGTCCAGCGGAGGGCAACCAAAATGATTAGGGGGCTGGAGCATATGACCTATGAGGAGAGGCTGAGGGACTTGGGTCTGTTTAGTCTGCAGAAGTGAAGAGTGAGGGGGGATTTAATAGCAGCCTTCATCTTCCTGAAGGGAGGTTCCAAAGAGGATGGAGAGAGGCTGTTCTCAGTAGTGACGGATGGCAGAACAAGGAGCAATGGGCTCAAGTTACAGTGGGGGAGGTCTAGGCTGGATATTAGGAAAAACTATTTCACTAGGAGGGTGGTGAAGCACTGGGATGGGTTACCTAGGGAAGTAGTGGAGTCTCCATCCCTAGAGGTGTTTAAGTCTCGGCTTGCCCCTGACCAAGCACCTAAGACAGCTATTATGTGGATTGCTGATGGGCACAGGCCATTTGCAGCGATGGCTGGGCTTAAAGCCTGGGGACTGGGTCATGCGCGGTCCCCTGGCTGAGACTAACGAAGCCTCATCACTACTGCCAAGGGTAACTAGTTCAATTAGTAAATTACAGGTTCTAGAAGTTGCAGGAATGGAGCTCAAACCATGCAAGCCAAATTACTTCTGCTGCACCCCGTGGGCACCAGAGCCAATCCCCTACAGACACTACTGAGGGAAAAACTTCTGGCATCAGTGCACAGGGTGAGCACACCCCCTAATATGGCATGGCCATGAGCAAGCACTCAAACTGCAACCTCAAGGTACAGTGAAATATCCCCGTAGAGTTACTCAGATATCACCAGAGCCCCTCTGGACCTCCTTCAGCAGCCAGGCAGTTACCCCTACCTCCCCCTCTTTCCTTTCCAGGAACAGAGCCACACACACCTGGGAGCCAGGCAGCTGCACACAGCTGAGAAATTCAACCCTTGGCTAAGAGGAGACAGCTCGAGTGAAACAAGTTGTTCAACCCCAAGAACAGGTCCAAGGAGAGGACTCATGAGCATACTGGAGAGGGCAGAAACCTCATCCCACAAAGCCACAGCAAGAGGCATCAGTAACTGATGGGCTGGGCGGTGGGTGCACTGGCCCTTGCGCCTCTACCTGCTCCTTGTGTGGCAGGGAGACCTTGCGGGTGACTGAGCCAAAGGAGTGCTCACACATCTGTTAACCACCCTCCTGAGAGCATTCTGAAGCCCAGCCACTTCCATTAGGCACTTAACCTAGAAGGTGAATGGCTGCAGTAGGAGACTGAGCCTAGGTCTGGTAATCTGCTTACTCCACTACCTCAGCTCAGCTGGACAATGCCCACACGACCCTGAAGGCAGAAGGCAAGAGCCACTTGCAGGGCAAAAGAAAAGTGTGTGAAGCTCCTTCAGGATGCTCCCTCTCACCTAACCTCTAGTGGTTGGGTGAAGAGGGGTTAGGACAATGTCCACAGAAAGCAGCTCTGACCAGAAAGATTTCCAGCAGGAGACAAGGAGGCTGACTAGTCAGAAGACCAAGTGTTGCAACAGTCTCACTGCAAACCAGTATAGACTGGTGCTGGAGGTTTTAACCCAGGCTGAGTGCACAACAAGGTGCCTCTGCACCTTGATACCAATTTCCTAGAGAACCTGGGAGGAGAGTCAGTATTTCATGAAAGAAAATCAATAATTTACTTCCTCCAATCCACACGAGCTACTATCCTGTTCGTTCCTCCTCCTCAGGGGCCCTGAAGCAGACCACTGGGACAAGACAGGACTCAGATCTTCCCATGGCCTGCTGGACAGGAGCAGCTGCGTCTTCTCCCTGAGCGAAGAATCTGCTCCAACTCAAACTGGCTCTCTGACTAAAGCACAGGCTTCTCGGAGGGGTGGGAAGAGGGTAATGGGCAGAGGCGTGAACATACTAATTTCTCCCCCAACTCTGAGACAAATGAAATTAAGCTTGTGATAATCCTCCTCTGTGTATAACTAAACAGATGTCCATGGTGAGGACTTAAGGAAAGTCACAGGACAGTTCCCCACTATTCAATATTAAGGAGGGGGTGACAATTTCCAAGCTACACTGTAAGGAAGTTTCTTCTGCCAGGCAACCTACATTCTTCTCTATGTAATTTCATCCTGTCACTCCCAACCAGACCATGCCCACGCCCTCTCCCTGCTCACTACTGACATATTTCAAATACTTATAGGCTCGTGTCCATCCATTCCCCCCAACACACACCCCACATCTAATGTCTTAGCCAAGTTCCACATATTTAGGTCTTTAAACCTCGCCTCTTAAGTTACTCCTCTCCGCACAACACCCTTCTTTAAATTCTTTTAATCTCATTGCCATCTTTCTGGTACCAAGGCAGCCAGAACAAAACACAGCAATCCAAATTATCCTGGGCACCCATACTCCAACACACAGTGCAGAGCTATGTCCACAAACACTCCAGGTTTCTCTCAGCACTGCTTCTCTTCAGTTTTTCCTTTTACTGACTGTTTATTGCCTCTCAAATGTATTAGCTCCCCCTCCACGCCAATCCCAAAATTAATCTTACTTTGTATCCTGCCTGCATTTCCAAACTACCCTGCACTGTTCTGCCCTTACAGGTAACAAGGAATCCTTTAGACCCATGGTGTTGCTTCTCCCCCTCCATTCGCTTAAAGGAAACCTATTTTACCAGCACCTGTTAGTCATTTCCCTGCTGCTCGTCATTCTGGGTTTATATTCCTACCACTACGTTTTGGCCCATTTCACAGTGTTCACAGATAAGTCAATCTGAATGAGTCTCAAGCACTTCAGTCTACTGTTATTTTCAATGGTGCAGTGTGGTGGTAGAAGCAAACTAGACATTCAAAGAGTATGCAGGCCTGGCTGGAGACGTGCTCAGGAAAACTCTCAGGCAGCATAAAGCTATAGACAGCAGACCAATCACTGCTGAAGGCCCATTTAGTTTGCTTTCCTTTTACGATTCAAACCACGGGAACCCGCTTACCGCACTCGGATCCATTCTGGTTTCACAAGCTGGAATGGGATTCCAATCCCCAGGGGGCAGCAGCAAGAATTAGATACGCATTAAGCGCACTGAGATTTGCAAGTTATTTTTTTACCCCTATGGTTGTGCATTGTTTCCCCAACGTAGTGTCATTACAAGATTTGCAGGTACAGGCAAGAGCTACAGTATTTCCAGCTAGACCGCTCCTGTGCT